TCCCCCTAACCTCTCCGCTCTTTCCGTCGCGTTGGTCTAAGTCCTCGAGGCGGAGAGAAAGGAACCAGAGTGATGGACGGCTACCTGTGGCGCTGCCAGGTGGCCTCGGTCACGTGGGTTCGTGACGTAATGGGTAAAAGAATCTTGAGGTCATGGGGCTTCCCCTGACCTGGATTCTATCTCTCCGTCACCGGCAGAATCGCTGATTAATGCCTACAGTTCAAAATAGTCATTTTGACTGACCGGAGTTTATGGTGGGTATGAACTATGTGAATAGGCGGGTTTATGGTATTAAATTTCATTGTCAATTACAACATTGTTTTCAGAATAAACAGGACGAAGCACTGCCACTGTATGAAAGGGCATTACATATTTACGAAGATACACTGGGTGCCAATCATGTTAGAGTTGCTGAGACATTACGTAATCTGGCTGTGTTAAGATATGAACAGAGTGATTTTGAAACGGCTGCCAAGTTGTACAAAAGATCTACAGAAATCAAAGAAATGGAACAAGCATTTGGTAATAAAGCACCGTCCAGGAAGTCGTCTATTGGTGGAGTCTCTACTGTCAGAAATCTGCTTAGTCCACACCTATATTATGCAGAGCAGCAATAAGGAACGATAGAATTAAACCTTGCTGTGTGTATAAATTAGGTTTTCTATACACATGTACATGTTGGCATTTATTTACACTATCCATATTTACTTTTATATCTGAAAAATGTCAATATGGGTGATGGCATGTAACTTGGTGATTTTGAGAATCCTGCCACAGAATTTCTGTCACGAAATTTACAAAAATTATAGTGGTTTACAGTAGACTATGGACTTCAAACAGTGATTATCTAAATACGGATAAAGTGAATTTTGTGAAGACATGAATGTTTTTTAAATAAAATATTTATAAATGTTTTATATATCTCAAATAATAGTTGAAAACAACTAGACTATTCTCAACACATTAATGGATACATGGCCGTGAATCAGTCATTCAAAGACAATAAGCACTATCAAAAGGATACATGGCCGTGAATCAGTCATTCAAGGGCAATAAGCACTATCAAATGGATAAATGGCCGTGAATCAGTCATTCAAGGGCAATATAATAAGCACTATCAAATGGATACATGGCCGTGAATCAGTCATTCAAGGGCAATAAGCACTATCAAATGGATACATGGCCGTGAATCAGTCATTCAAGGGCAATAAGCACTATCAAATGGATACATGGCTGTGAATCAGTCATTCAAGGGCAATAAGCACTATCAAATGGATACATGGCCTTGAATCAGTCATTCAAGGGCAATAAGCACTATCAAATGGATACATGGCAGTGAATCAGTCATTCAAGGGCAATAAGCACTATCAAATGATTTCTATAACCACTACAGTATTTGAATGAAATGAGAGGTTCTTCCAGGGTTAAATATTTTATAAATATTTTATAAAATTTCACAAAAAAACATTCATGCTCTCAAAATTTACTATGTAAAGCAATATTTAAAAAATGGAAAAGCTGAATAGCACAGCTTTGTTCCATCACTTTATTTGGTGTATGTTGCATTTATAGTGTATCAAACTGAAATTAGTGGGGTGGGGTGGGGTGGGGGGTGGGGGTGGGGGGGGGGTAGCTAGTTATGACCTCAATACATTCTAATCATGATACTTCCATTATATACCATCATTGATCATTCCATGTATATTTATGAAAATGTAAACAAATGGTATTTTTATATTTATGATATATTTAGTTTTTCATTATTTGTGTTTGTGCATATTTTGTTTATATTTATTATCTGCAGTGTTGTGAACTTTGACACTGTTTCTGTGTACATATATAATACAGTGATGTTTATTGTGTCTGTCTGTCTGTCTGTCTGTCTGTCTGTCTGTCTGTCTGTGATGTCAATACATGTATAAGTGTACATGCCAGGTAGTTATGTTTTTTTATACCTCATGTTCAAGATCGCCACATAGATTGTTCAGAACATGGTCACATGGTGGTAAACTCATTATTAAAGACTATTAAAGAGTTGATGATTATCCAGTGGCCTCTATTTTTTTATTGCACATACATGTATGTAGTGTTTACATGAAGCAATGCTGTTGACCACAGATTTCGATGTCAGATTAATGTAGTGTTTATTATTCCATATAATAACACTTTTAGTTTCCTCAGTATCGGTCAATATTCAGTTTTGATGACTCTCTGGAATTATTTACCTCATCAATAGTTTCCTCTTGGGGTCATTAAAACTGAATATTGACCTCTATTGAGGAAACTATATGTCTATTATACTGTCCACCAATATCCTTATCATAGTTTCATTGAAATCACATCATGGTTCCATTGAAACCTTATCATGGTCTCATTAAAATCACATCATGGTTCCATTGAAACCTTATCATGGTCTCATTAAAATTACATCATGGTTCAATTAAAACCATATCATGGTCTCATTGAAATCACATCATGGTTCCATTGAAACCTTATCATGGTCTCATTAAAATCACATCATGGTTCAATTGAAACCATATCATGGTCTCATTAAAATCACATCATGGTTCAATTGAAACCATATCATGGTCTCATTAAAATCACATCATGGTTCAATTAAAACCATATCATGGTCTCATTGAAATCACATCATGGTTTCATTGAAACCTTATCATGGTCTCATTAAAATCACATCATGGTTTCATTGAAACCTTATCATGGTCTCATTAAAATCACATCATGGTTCAATTAAAACCATATCATGGTCTCATTGAAATCACATCATGGTCTCATTAAAATCACATCATGGTTCAATTGAAACCATATCATGGTCTCATTGAAATCACATCATGGTTCAATTGAAACCATATCATGGTCTCATTGAAATCACATCATGGTTTCATTGAAACCTTATCATGGTCTCATAAAAATCACACCATGGTTCCATTGAAACCTTATGGTCTCATTAAAATCACATCATGGTTTCATTGAAACCTTATCATGGTCTCATTAAAATCATACCATGGTTCCATTGAAACCATATCATTAAAATCACATCATGGTTTCATTGAAACATTATCATGGTCTCATTAAAATTATACCATGGTTCCATTGAAACTATATCATGGTCTCATTGAAATCACATCATGGTTTCATTGAAACCTTATCATGGTCTCATTAAAATCACATCATGGTTCAATTGAAACCACATCATGGTCTCATTAAAATCACATCATGGTTCAATTAAAACCATATCATGGTCTCATTGAAATCACATCATGTTTCATTGAAACCTTATCATGGTCTCATTGAAATCACATCATGGTTTCATTGAAACCTTATCATGGTCTCATTAAAATCCCAT